CCAAAAAGGGCAATTTGACGAAATATGCTATGACAGTGAAAGGAAAATTACGTGGATAAAGTGAAACGAGCGCAACCATCAGTTGACTTAATTGAAACACCGGTGATATATAGAAAACAACCTAAAAACCATAGTTCCGATTAGTAATCATTTCAAGAACCAAGACCCCAGATGAACTGTGCAAAAGACTGACAGTTGCATCGCTGGAATGGACGATGACAAAACAGAACGCTAGCTGATTTTTACCTTTTTTTCTAGCAAAGTGTGTCTTAAAATTTCGGTACTTCAAACAACTGTTCTTCACGGTCATCACTGACTTACTAGTAAATCCTCTGCCATTAAAAGCTGCTTATGTTGGGAAACAAACTAATTGCCTATATGGTAATGCGTTGATAAGAATGGTTCAAAGTACAGGTGAAGCTCCGAACTAAATCAATGACGGGGAAAAAGAAAGTAAAAATAAAATAAAAAAAAATTTGCTGTTTCAAAGAGTGCCCGGCAAACTATATTGAAAATTACAGCTAAAACAATTATTGGAAATTAAAGGCGATGGGGAGAACCAGAAAAAGATTTTGGAAATGCTGAAGGTGGAATGAGGCTGTTCGGAGCTGAATGCGACTGTATTTTTGAGAACAAAATATTTTCGAGTTGTAAGAAAATAAATTTTTACCTTTTTTTCTAACAGTAATAATTTAAATAGCACTAACAAACGATGCTTGAAAGTCGTCACAAGCGACTGCACTGAAATGTCTGAAAAAATACAAATTACAGCTGACAAAATCCGCTTAGATACGCCGTATTTATCAGGCCTTTACTAGCAACAAAATCAATGAAATTCACGACTGAAGAAACTTTGTCTGAGCAGCCTTTACCGAAAAAAATGGGAAAATTTTACAAAGTAGCACTGACCCATTACTGCAGCACTTTCGTCAATTTCCTCAGTTGTTGGAAACATTTCACAAAGATTCTCATACATTTGCGACAAAACTTCAACCTCAAAATCATTAAAAATACTTTTTCTTAAAGCAAAAAAAAAACTTGTGTACAAGAGACTCGTGTAAACTTGTGTGAATCAAGATACATGAATTGCAAGTGCTGGGATGTCAGCCCGCAATGTCAGACTTGTGCAGAAATGCTCCACAGATGTTATCCATGCCTATCCGACTGTTATCTGATATAAATTTTAATTCTTTGGCGCTAGTATTGCGAAGTGGTATTGCAACAGTTCTCTTCTGTACAT